TTGGCAAAGGGGTACCACATGAGAAAACAATGCAGATTTTGTATCTCTCAGGAATGAACTCATCCATCACCAGGGCAGCGATTAGCTAAACATTAATTTAACAGACAGAGCAGCACCAGTTTCACGTCCTGCGGGCATCCATGGTGCCTTCACTGCTCACACGTTGCTACTATCTGACCTCTCCACCAAGATGCCCTGCAAGCTGGTCGTCCTTCTTGCACTTGCCAAGAGATGCTAACTCACAGAAGCTGCACTTTGCCGAGAGCTCCACAGGTGCTGAACATTGTGTGTAGCTGATTTTTCTAATGCCATTTCATCTCACTGCTCACCCACCACTATTAGGTAGGTGTTGTATTATCTTTCATTCTATAGAGGTAAGAAGTGAGGCCGTGGGTAAAGTGACTTGTGCCTTAGCTCCCAGCCATTTAAAGGAGAGGTTACAAGGGAACCAGGGCATCTGGCTCCGCAGCTCTCTCTCCCAAGCAGCAGTTGCATGCTTCCCCAGCACAGTGCCCTGGCTGAGAGGTGTCCTTGCTGTGCCTGCAGCCTGGCTCCTCACCTGCAGCGGCACTTCCAGGAACCACTGCATGCAGTCCCTGCACCGAAGCACCATCAGTGTCTGCACTATACTGTCGCTCTCTATGCTTAGGAGCTCTCACTGAAATGACAAGCATTTCGTCTACATTTTATTCTCCACTTAGAAACAGAAGGGACATATGCCAGTGGAGAGAGACAGCAGTCTTGTTTTGAGGAGAAACTAAAGTTGGGCAATAAGGCAGGCAGGTCTGCGTAGAAAGGACAGGCTGGAGGCGCCCTGACAGTGACTGACCTCATTTAACTGGCAAGAGATAAAAGCTCTTGGAGTGCGGAGTTAAAGATCACATTCCAAATATTTCAAAATGTAAATGGTGCGGAGGTCACTAAGGCAGCACAGGGCAGCGGTCTCTGAAGGAAGTCAGAGCCATGTTGGGACTGAACTGGTTTCCAAGAAACTTATGAACTACCACTTTGATGTTGCCAAACTGTTCCGAGTTCCCTTCACCAGGGATGAGAGGGAGGTTAAGATGGCCCAGGGCGCAGCTTCCGCAGGTGGAAGGAAGTTTCCGCAGACCCAGAGAGACCAGCTTGCCCTGCAGACTGGAGGGGCACAAGCTGCTCCTGCAGGGCTGAAGGCCTCTGCACAGCAGGCGGTGAGGCCTGAGGTGGAGCAGACACTGCCTTTCACTCCCTGTCTCTCTTGAGAGCTCAGCTGGACAGCACTGACCTCCACTGGACTGCCTTACCTCCTCCTATGTCTGAACTACACTCCCAAAGGCAGCCAGTGTCAGCGGGACTCCATGGTGGAGCTGCAAAAGTCTGGAGTTTTTGCAAAACCTACTTTTCCTTCCTTCTTTTGTCTTATACATGGGCATAGAGATGATAGCAGAGGATTGCGTGGATTGTTTTTTCCCTGCTTGTTTGGTTTTGTTTTGTTTTTGAGACAGAGTCTAGATATGCAGTGCAGGCTGGCCTTGAACTCATTTATGTATCCCACTTGGCCTTGAACTCACAGCAATCCTTCTGTCTCAGGCTCCTGAGTACTGGGATTACAGGGATGCACCATGATGCCCTGCTGCTTGTATTTAGAATTTTTTTTTTTATTTGTTCACATCTCTACAGGAATTATTTGTATAACTCATAGCTCAGTGATGGTGCACTAATGTGCAAAACCTTGAGTTCACTCCTCAATATGGCAAAAAAAAAAAAAAAGAAAAGAAAACCTATTATCATAAGTATACCCATAGTATTTTATTTAGATATTATTGTAATGATGTCTAGATGTTACTTTGCCCAGACAAAATTTTATCTGCGCTTTACCAGGAATTTGAATAATTTGGGGTGTGTGTGTGTGTGTGTGGGTGTGTGTGTGTGTGTGTCTAGGCAAAAGGAACATAGTATTTCAATTTATTTCTGTGCTTTTTATTTGTGCTAGTTAAAGTCTAACTTTATTTAGCAAAGTATATTTTTTTCCTGTAGTGGATTACTTAAACACTACTAATAACCTGAATTACAAAACAAACAGCTTAATATTACATGTTCTGATTGGCAATTTAAATTAAAAGAAAAATATATAGGAACATGTCTCAGAAATTTATCAGCTCGGGTTAATTTGCATAACAAAGCGGATGAAATGACAGGAAGAATGAAAATACAAGGACAATCGTTAGTGTACAAGCAGCTTTTTGTTTCCATGGTTAGCAGGGCTGGGTCAGCAACACCATCACTCTTTCCCGCAGGTGTGCTGGTAACTAACTCCCCAGAGGATCCCCTGAGCAGTGCCACCATGGCTTTGGGAGTGCAGCTGGCTGCCCATCACCCAGGAGGCTGCTGGGCTGCTGGGCTGCAGTCTTGCAAAAGCATGGAGGGGAGCCTGAAATCACCAGAGAAACTTCCCAGCTCCAGGAGCCCCACTGAGAAGCTTCTTGCCTCCCCTAGAGAAGAGAGGTCTGCTAGAAAAGTGTTTTGAACAAGAAAAGAACCTTCTCAAAGATGTTTTCATGCCTGCAGTTTCAAGCGCTGACTCAATATGGAATCCTTAGGATCCAGCCCAAATACTTGTCTTTTATACGCAGTTCCTGCCTGCTTTTGAATTTTTTATATAAATGATACTGTTAACCATATCAACTCCGGCTACTCAGGTTGGATACACATCCTGGGATAGACCAGAGCTCAGTGGATAATGGTATATGCAGAAAAGTACATAAAACACAAAATTAGGCATCCACAACTATAAGCTCCTGTAATTATATTTATTGGATACCTTCATAGAGTTAATTCTTTTAGAATACATCTGTCTAGGGCATGTGCTCATTCATCATAATTAATCTTAATCACAAACCTGCTGGAAGGTTTTATGATAAAAGGGATTATTTTTGATAAACATAGAAAATAAATACACAAACACGGAAGAAGCAGACCAGACTTCAAGTAATATTTCACCACCCTTAGAAACATGAAGAGACAAAGCATCTCTAATATTCAAATCTTGCAACCAAACATTATTCATCCTCTGTCCACATTGCCAATCAGGTCTTTAAACCTGAGAAGGAACTACTTCTATTGTGAGATTCTGTCATGACACGTGCAGGGAAGTCTGCATTACCAAAGAAAAGATGAGAAAACATATTGCTAGAACCTCTTTATGAGATCTGTGTATGCATACCTCATTCAGGGCATTTGTATTCATTCATAAGAAAAATATGAAATAAACTATGGAGCTGGATTTGGGCTAAGGGCGCACCCTGATTCTCCTAGTCCTGCCTTGGAAGCATTAATACTCTCAGGGAGTGTAGCATGGACTCAGTTATGCAGCTTGGTCCCAAACACTGGTAGATAGCTACAAAAGCTGAAGCTGTTTGTGAAGCTTGGGCTCTTAGAAAGTTTGAGTCTTTGCTTCACAGATAGTCCTGTATCTTTCATATAAAATATCATTTTAAAAGGTTTCTTACCAGCTTAATTCATGACTACTTATAAGCCTGAAAATGCTTTGATGTTGGACTTTGGTTGAACATGGTTAAATATATAATAAAAATAAAATTTGGTTTCCTCACACTACCGCTATAAAACAGCTCACTATAAACAGTGTCTTACATTAATAATATATTACATTTAGAAAGCAGATTATATGATCTATGTACAGTATATTTCATTGCTAGCTTAAAATATTCATGCACAGAGGGAAAAATTGTAGGGCATATACCATGCTGTTTATAGTGATATTCCAGAAAGTAGAAATATGGATGTGTTTCTTTTCTTTGATTTTCTTTTCTGTGTTTTGGAAAAATTGAATAATAGACATATATAATTTTGGAAACAAAGAAAATTATTTGAGATTTGACTTTTAAAAACTTTTAACAGTTGAAAAGGCTGATCTACTGAGTCTGTGTATACGTTAAGTGTCTAGACTGTGTTGTTTAATATGGTAGTTACTACCTGCAAGTAGTTATTTTAACTTACACTTTAATTAATTAACTCAATTCTTCAGTTACAGTCAACACAGATATTCTTCCATAGCAACCTTTCCATCATCCCTGGGAATTCTATTTCACAGTCCCAGTGGGGAGTGAAGTACCAAATTCTGCTCTAATAACCAGGAATGGACGATGGGCTGATGGTCACTGACACTGGCATGAGCACCTGCCCTTTGCCCTGGACACTGAGAGACTCCTTGTCACCAGTACCTCTTATAGACCTCACTAACCAGAGGTCTCATAAGCTTGGGCACTTTCCTGGAGCCATTCGACTCATTAGTACAGAGCAAGAACTTGCTGTTATGTAGTTTTTGCCTTTGTGTCATTGTTATCTTTGTCTTCAGAAAACTCACACTTCTGGGGATATGTTTAATGCGATATGATTTACAATGTAGTGTATATCTGATCAAGAATCGAACATGCTAAACCAAAGTACAAGAGATTCCCTTCTCCCCACCCAAGGACATCACAGATCAAAAATAAGCAAGCATCTTGGGTACAATGACAAAGCAAGGTAGCAGCTATTCTGCTCTTTTGGAGATGCTTCAGACAGGCACTTATGTTTGAAGTGGGTCTTGATATTTATATATCCAAATTCATAGCCCAGTATTTCTTTTCTAATATCCTCAGTTTTCCCAAGACTCCCAGAAAGGCTGGGCCACGTTTCAGAAATGCAATTAATTCCTGACAAAATTAATGCTTTTACTTCATGTGGGATAGTTAGAGATGTTCAAATCTCCGCAAGTGCACTGATTTTCTTATTTCAGGTTGGTTCCATATGTGTAAAATAATCTTAAATCTGCAAATGTATCAAAATAAACAACAGTTTTTCAGATTGAGTTGCCCATTTTGCTTTTGGCTATATGAAAGAGAGTTTCCAATGTTAGTCAACAGTTATGTTTCTGCCAGTTGTTTTGAGAACATTGAAATGCAGGTTAAGAACCGGGAGGTCCCTGTTCACAAATGAATCCTGTCCCTGTATTTTAACAGATGCAATGCTCTTGGTGGCAGAGCGACTGGAAGGGCCTTTCAACATTGAGTCGGTCATGGACCCCATAGATGTCAAGATTTCTGAAGCCATTATGAACATGCAGGAAAACAGCATGCAGGTGTCTGCAAAGGTATTTGCACTAATCATGTGTCTACTAATGTATGTATGTAATTCAGGCACAGTAACCTAAAAATGAAGTAAGGAGATCTGTCAGCTTTGATTATAAATTCTGATATGCTGCCAGTTAGCTTTTCCTGTTGAGCCACAGGTTTGCTTCTCTGTTAAAGCAAAAATGCCTAACAAAATGGCATTGAGCTGGGAAGCAATTCTTTACTTCAAAACTATTCAATCGTGATGAAATTATTGACTGCCTAAAACTTTCCTTGAGCCTCAAGTATGCTGACTAATCCCTCACATTTGTGAGCAGTTTTGTTATTTGATGTTTAAAATTTCTGCACACCTTCACTTTGTGTTCGTTCTAGTAACTTCTAATTATATCATCAGCTGTGTAGACCAAGTGTGTGTTCTATGTATTCATTTGTAAATAATTCAACATCCCATCTGACTTCCTTTGGAGACTACAGTATAACATTCATTAATGAATCTTCAGGGGCAAACGCTCCTTTGTATGGAGTCAAGCACTCATTAAAAAGCAAAAAGTACACGTTTTCATAAATCATATGAGACAGGGCTTCTAGGTTTGCAGCTGCAAAACACAAGTGCCAGGTGCATAGTTTTTATTTGCCTCCACCTAGAGGAAGATAAACAGGACCTGCCTGAGGCAAACTGAGACGTTGCTAGTGGGTTCCTAGCCTCGTCCTTCATCACTCCATCTCTGCCACATGGATGGCTGCACAATGCCCTTCTGTTCTCTTTGCTAACCCTTCTCCTGTGAAACACTAACCTACCCTGTGTCAGTCCTCTAAATTTGGTGACTGAGCAATTGCATTTTAATTGAAAGTCCTTCACACTAAAATATGTCAGGCAAAGTGTTACATGATTAGCTTCCTTCAGTTTTTAACATCCTTCATGAAGGAGATTTCAAATATAATCAAGAAAGACGGGAAAGCAGGAAGAGAGCTATGGCCTCCCTGGCTGAGTGTAATCCAGGCTTTCCAGGGCGGGCTGGTAGGAAGTAGGGTAAGAATACATCTGGCCACGGTTTCTTTCTCTCTCTGGGAAATGGATGAACTGAGAGCTTTGTAGGCCTGCTTCTGGGTTTTAATGAGCTTGGGGTACCCTGTGAGAAGGAAGATTCTCTAAATTACCATCACCTGTTGGGGAAACAGCACATTTGGGGGTTCCATGAAAGGCCACTTTCTTTCACTCCTGTGGAAAAAAATAGCAAGTGTCTATTCCCCTCAATCTATTGCCTAGAAACCAATTAATGTTGTTTGGAGAGGTCACATATCCCAGCAGTGCTCAAGTAATTAGGGGATGGTTTTGTGGACTGCACGATGGCTCTAGAAATAGGACGCAAAGCATCCGCATGGGGAAAGCTCCTGCAGTCTGAGACCATCACATCCTAGAAGCCAGGGTCTGTTTCCACTCGTGTGTGCACACAGGTTCAAAGTCAGGCATTCTGGTTTCATTCTTTTCACCCATTTGTTCAGCACATATTCACTGAGAACCCGAGAGGCAGACAAGGTTCTAGGTTCTATGGGAGCAGGAGTCAATGTGACACAACTCCTGCCCTCATCAAATGCAAGGGACATGGACACTGAACAAATGGACAAACACATAAGGAAATAAGCAGAATAAAATATCAGGCCAGGAGGGAATAAGGACAATCTCTTCCTCCCTCAGCACCTGCACGTGTTTTGACAGTAGTTTTTGTCATTTTCCTTTCAAGGAAACTTGAAAAAACCTTTCCTCTCCACTGGTTTCCACTGGTTTCTGCTTTGAACTCCCTCAAGTCTGTGCTTCATCCAGCAGCTGAAGTGTTTCTAAGATATAAATAAGGTGATGCCCCACAACTTTGCCTTTCAGCGGCTGCGATTGTAGCTAGAGTAGGTTTCATACTCCTGCAAGAGCTCACGCTTTCCAGCTCTCTCTTCCCTGGGACTCTGGCTTCTTGCCTCTTGACCTTTGCTACTGTGCAGACGTGTGATTTTTCTCTCAGTTCTCTGAGCACAATCACAGCTTCCTCTGCCAGTGTTTTCCCCTCCTGCCCCTTGTGAGTGAGTTCCCTCTTGAGACTCTCCATTATAGCAATTTTTCACAGCATCTATTACAGAGTTGGAAATACATATTGATGTTTGTTTGTTGTTCCCCTGGATTCCCTGGTCAGAAACTCCAAGTGGAATTGAGATCACCACTGGACTGCCGAGTACTCGGAGCCTAGTCCAGACCTTGGCACATAAAAACTATAGACAAATACTTTTTTAAAAAATGCATCAGTGAGGTCACAAAATCTTTTAAGAAGTTAACCTGCTTCAAAGATTCAATCATCTAGATTATCCTTACTAAAAAATTTGTAATGGGAAAATAAAAATATACATATTTACGGTGGGCATGATGATTTAAATTATGTATACACGGCAGAATGGGTACATTGAGCTGAGTCAGCTGCCTGTCACCATGACAAGCACCCGAGATAATGTACAGGAGGAAAGGTTTCCTTGAGCTCTTGGTTTCTGAGGTTTCAGTTCATGGTCAAGTTGGCTCCACTGCTGCTGGGTCTATGGTGATGCTGAACATCAAGGTGGAGAGCATGTGGCAGAGAAAAGCTGTTTGCCTCATGGTAGGCAGGAGGCAGAGAGAGAGAGACAGACAGAGACAGAGACAGAGACAGACAGAGACAGAGAGAAAGAGAGAAAGAGAGAGAGACAGAGAGAAAGAGAGAGAGAAAGAGAAAGGGTTCAGAGACCCACTCCCCGTGATCAACTTCCTCCAACAAGGGTCTGCCTTCTAAAATCTCCACCAAATCCCAATATTGCCACAAGCTGGGCACCAAGCCTTCAAGATATGAATGGTTAGAGGGCAAACACTTCAAATCCAAACTACAATGCAAGCTAATTAACATGTACATTACTTGTCATATACTGATCATTTTGCTTTTGAGGTGATAACACTTAAAATCTACTCCCTTTGTGATTTTCAAACATATAATACATTTCTGCAACTATAGTTCAAATCCAGCACTGTACCAGCAATTTCCCAAAAGATCACATGGAGTCTTTATTGTTAGAATATGGATAACACATCTTTGTGGAATTTGTCCAGCTACATTATAATGGGGTCATTTTAAATGTTCTTGAAAGTGGCATATTTCTTTGTAAGAAATGTCAAAATCAAAAGTAAAAGTAGTATAAGGTAAGTAACAGTATATTCACATCAGGGGGGTATAAAAATATAAAAGTAAAATGTATAAAAATAAAATGATAGTGCAAAAATGTCCAATTAGCACAAAAAGCTGCTCTGGAGTCCAGTGTGATGGCATGTGCTTTGTAATACCTTCCATTGAAGGCTGAAGCAGGAGAATGAAAAGTTTGAGCCCAGCCTGGGACAACTTAATAACTTGAAATCTCGTCTAAAAATTTTAAAAAGTAAATAATTAAACAGGCTAGGAAGTTAAGTCAATAAAAAGGCCTTAAGTTTAATCCCAAGTACTATAAAATAATGTACTCTATAGAATTTCCATGTAATGATGGGGATGGAGAGAGTTAAAGAGGGGGAGAGAAAGGATCAGCAGAGAGAAGAAAGGGAGAGAATAGAGAGAGAAGGTACTTCTAGAAAGAGGGCCTGGGACCGGAGGTCTGTTCTGGAAGACTGTTAAAGAAGACCCAAGGCCAGTCCACTTTCAATACCATGGAGACATAAAAATGGTTGAAGTTTGGATAAGTTTAACTAGGTTAAACTAAGTTGGCTAGGAAAACAAGTGTTCTGGAAACATGTTGTACTTCATTGGAGGAACAGAATCTTCTCATATATTTAGATGTGGTTATATTTTCCATGGACATGAAATCCATGAAATCACGTGCAAACTGGAATCTAAAAATGTGGATTGTAGCTAAGAACTAGAATGTATCCTTTCTGCAAAAGGAATCCTCAGTTAGTGTTGCTACCCAGCCTCAATGAGACTGAAGTTCCACATTTCAGGTTGGAGTACCTATAGAATTAGAAAGAGCGCAAGCTTCTTACAGATGATACTCAGGTGAATCTAGGAGCTCTTCCTTACTTTGGGGCAAGATGTCCTGATGGTGGTCAAGCTTACTCATTACAGTGGCTTTTAGGATATGTCTGGCACCTGCCCTTTGAAGAAATCACTGATTTAATAAAAGGCATTGCTGATAGAACCCATTCCCAGAGTCACTTACAAAAGCAACAATATTTACAACGCCACATTACAACTGCCAAAGACTAGGTGCTCTACAGGGTTTATCTTGTACAGCATTGATAACTGTGCTGTGATGAGATAGAACTTCCCCGTTGGCTTGTGAATAAAGAAGTTAAAGCTTAGAAAGGTTGACATATGCAGGTTGCATGGTACAAAGGGTAGAATAATATCTTATTCCAGAACCATTGTGTTAATCACCACATTATGATGAAGTTGATGCCTAGAGTTTGCCTCTCACATGGGTGGAGTTTGGTAAATATTTGCTGCACAGATCAAGTGTTAAGAGGAAGTCCAATAGCCTCCAGGGAAGTCTGCAAGAGAAAGAAAGGACACAGAGGTGGAAAAGACAGAACGACTCAAGCGATCTTTCTGTCTGGTGGACAATTGCACCCACGAAATCACACCTAAACTGGAATCTAAAACTGTAGATTACTACACCACTAATACTTCCCAACATGAGACACTCTCATTAAATACTTCTCATACTCAAGTAATTATTCATTTCTTCCAAACCTTCCCAGAGTTCTAACAGTAAAAAAATAAAATTATTTTTCTTCTTTATGTGTCTGAAGGCAAAAGATGAACATACCACATTCTCAGATAATTCCTTTTCTCCAAATACTCGCATCGTATCTAGAGAGAGGAGAGCTAATCTTTTTGTACCTAATAATTGAGACTGTGGTTTAGAAGGATTTATAGACTAATGAAAAGATCTGTTCTCACCATGTATGTTCATACTTTATTCTTGTCCCAGATCTGTTTTTGAAGGTATGGTTGAATGCGTTTTCTTC